CCTCAAAAAGTGCCAAAATTCAAAAAAAAAAAGTGACACTAAAAACAGTGACACAAATTAAAAAAAAAAAAAAGTGACAATCTTTTGACGAAATTCATGGGCTTCTTCCTTCTGTAACAATTAGAGTCGAATTCTTCCTTGCAAGAACATTGGGGTGGCTCTCAATATCCTCATCTTCTTCGATCTCCTCTTCTTCATAAATTCCATCCTCAGGAATCAATCATTCGTCAGTCACCTGACCACCTCAAATGCCAGCACAAGTCCTCTTGAAAACTTTCAGTTTTAAGCTTGATTTTCTGTCACAACCAATCCAAGAATCACATAATAAATAGTTTCCTCCTTTTTTTTTATTTTAATCATTACAAGAAATGCATAAAAGTCGATGGCTACCACTTTCTAAATACAGACCAAGTTTCATAACATCCAGAACACAGAATGAATCGATCTCCTTAAGTTCAGTCCTACACTCGAACCAAATAATTAATCCATGAAGAATATCATATCAAGAAAAAAAAAATGTCATCTCTTGATATGGTAACCGAAATGTAACGAGCAGTCAAGGAAATTTTTGTAATTTGGTAAATGACAATGAAGCCACATGAGAGTAAGCAAAAATCTGTTCTTCTTCTTTGAAGTTGAATCTTTATCAACATTTCGTTTCCTCTTCAATCGACATTCTCCAACCACTGTAGCAATAGGAGTCGAAGTCAGTTGTTGGAGTTGGAGTTGGAGTTGGAGTTGGCGTTGGTGTCGGGGTGAATAATTTGGAACTGGAGTCGGAGTTTTTGATTTCGGATCGGAACAACTTAAGGTTTCTACTATTGCGATTTGGAATTTTTTTGGGTCTAGATTTTTAAAATACCCACGAACAGGAGAATGGGAAGTTGTAAGACGAAAGACGATCTAATAGACGGAAGCTAAAATGGCAGGAAATGGACGGAGACAGAGATTCTTGGAAATGAATAGCTGCTGTTCAGGAGAGGAGAGCTTTCTATGTTGAGGAGTGGATTTTTACTGAATTGGGTTTGGGTTTTAGGTTTAGGACGTATTAATCACGCGTTGAATGGTTTAATTAGTTTTGAAATGGTATTATTCAATTTAGTTAGTTTAATAGGGCACTGAGCCTAACTTACTCTTAAATAATTGAGCATTGAACTTGGGTTGAGATTCAAACTTGAGTTGGGCTAATGCTAATATTTGGGCCAAAATTCTACAATTTCTTCTTAAGGTTTTTATATGGGCCGGGGCAGTGCAGGGCTAAAATTCTACAATTTCTTCATATGGTTTTTCAGGACGTGTTCGGTAGAGATTAAAATTGGATTAAAATTGAAAAACTAGCAATTATTGTTGACTTTTATTAGACGAGTAAGACCCAATAACGGCCATATTTTCAATTTTAATTGGATTGTAATCGGAAACAAATAGGCTCTAAATGTAAATGGATGGGGGACAGTGCTGGGCTACAGTACCCTCCACTACCTCCGCCCCTAGTGTGACCTATGTAGTTTCTACATCATTCAAACTATACATGCCAAGCACTGTCCCCCACTACCTCTGCCCCTAGTGTGACCTCTGTAGTTTTTACATCATTTAAACTATACATGTAGCTAATGTCATAGAGTTAGGATTGTATTATATTTTCAAAGAAGTGCGTCTAAATCTTATTTTTTGAGCTTGTCGAGTTTGTCAAGATGAAAATAGACCATGGTGGGGCTAGGTGGCCATTGCCGTCCCGTTGGCTAGGGATTTTTGAAAGGCACAGAGGAGACAGGTTGGGAAGCGGGGCAGGGCAGGGCAGGATAGGCTGTGGATAATATTCATGTTTATCGTTTTAATTTATTGTTTATTTATTTATTTTTTAAATACATTTTTAATTGAAAAACAATATAAAAATAATAAAATAAAAAGACTGGGTGATAATAATTCCTCATTAAAAAAAAAAACAATTGTTCCTCACAGTGGTGGACCCAGCATCTAAGTTCAGCCCAGACGAAC